TCATTGAAATCGCTGCAGACAGGCTGTTTGCGAGGCACTGAATCCTCTTTTTTTTCTTTCCTAGAAAGCTTTGCCTGTTGCGGCTGTCTGCTGCCATAGATGTTAGTCTGAGGTTAACTCTGGGATATACAGTGGAAGGTGTGGTGTTTGTCCATTTGTAGCCATTTAACATGAAATGTCCAAAGCACTTCCAGTACTCAGCCCTATTTCTTTTGCTACATTGAAGAAATGATTTTGCTTAAGGGTGTGGTGTCAAAAGAAACTGAAAAACTTTTGCCAGTAAAATGTACTAAGCTCTAAGGCTGGGCCTTAGAAATGCCATGTCCATCCAGACAGCAAGAAGAATGTTTTGGAACTGGGAGCTTGGAGTCGGTCGCCCTTCTTGCTCTGTTCCCATCCAGCCACCGACAGCTTTGACCTTGGACTTGTAATCTCTGCACTTTAGTTTCCCATCTTGGGATAATACTTGTGTTTATAAAGTGCTTTGAAATTCTCCAGCAAAAGGTGCTGTATAAGGGCAATGTATTTCTGTCAATGAATGTAGCAGGAGTCGATTTACATTATTGAACTGATCATGCAACAACTTTTTTTTTTTTTTTTTTAAAAGAAAACCTTTATAGGTTCCTTGCTTTCTGATGGAGAGCTTCTCTGTCTAGTTTTGCACCACTGAATTGTCACAGTGGCTGTGATCATCAGTTATTTTCTTTTAATGGGGAAAAACGGTATTTTAAAACCATTTAATGGATCCACTTGCCCTGAAGGTCTCCCGTTCCCCTCCAGTCCCATGAGGTATTCCAGCCATTGCATAAACCAAGCGCACATCCTACAACACCTGTGAGAGTACCCACCACAGAAAGTAATATTCCATGAATTCATGTGTGCAGTTTATCACCGTTGCAAATACTTTCTGATGCTAGCTATATGATGCTCTGAGGAATGGAAATCTAATGACTTCCTATATTTCAAAGGCAGTGTGCTTGTCTTTCATTTCCATTGATCATAAAATCATACCTTTGGAAGGGACTTCAGGCAGCAGCCCTCTAGACTGACCCTTTGCATAGATGCAACATTTTACTATTCCTAAACTATCCTAGCCATGACAGAACGGAAGAGCTGATGTGCCCTCCGGAACAGCAGCAGCTTCTCCTCCCTTTTTCAAACAGTTAGTGTACATTTGCCCATCCCTTGAGCTGCCTTTGCTTACAGCTTGTGCTTCTGAACTGTATGCCAAGCCCTTCTCAACGGAGAACTTAATTTATGTGAGATATTCAGAAAATCTTTCTCATCAGGAGGGTAGTAAAGCACTGGAACAGGTTACCCAGAGGGGTGATGGGTTCTCCATCCTTGGAGGTTTTTAAGACCTGAGTAGACAAAGCCTTGGCTGGGATGATGTAGCTGGGGCTGGTCCTGCTTGGAGCAGGGGGTCGGACTAGATGTGACCTCCTGAGGTCCCTTTCAACCCTCCTTTTCTATGATTCTGTGCATAGAAATGAACACGCTGGTTCAGTTACTTTTTTCCAGGCATCTAATGCACATGTTCTCACTGGAAGATTAAGAGAACTCATATCTGCCCTCACTTGTAGCACCAAAAAACCGGCACATTCAAGTCCAACTTATGTCTTACCCTTGTCATATGCCAGTCATACCTCTTGCCAAGCAGGGAGGGGTGTGCCGTCTGAGTCGAGACGAGTAACATGTCTGCGCTCCGGATCTGAATAACTTCTTTGGAATGGTTATAAACAGGCGTATGTCAGCAGGATGGGAATTTCCTTCAGAAGCTGTTAACAGCGCATCCTTCAGCGATAGGATTTTAATTGCACTTTGTACCTAATGTGAAACTCTGTAACTTTTTTTAATTGCAATTCCATCGTTTCCCTCTCCAAATGCATACATCCCTTAGGATAAGGGACTGTGTTAAGAATTTCAGGTTGATGTGCCTTGTTTTGTCTTCTACTCTTAACTTTTAAGATAGATATTTTAAATAACAGATTCATAGAAGTTCTATTTACATGATAAAGCAATGCGACTATTTTACCAAAGCTGCAGTAGCGCACACAATGTCCAGCCTGGCAGCTGCTCCATTATATTTTATATGCTAGAATGAATGTTTTAGATGGTGCCAGGAGAGATGCCAAAAAAAGGCATCTCTTTATTGTACTTTGTAGCTCCCTGCGTGTCTTCAAGTACCATCTGTGGACTTTGACACAAGCATATTTGCAGCCCTGTGTGGGCAAGACAGATAGTTACATTATGCTTCAGGCCTCACCATGAGACTTATCCTACTTTCTTTGCAATCTAAGGGAGCATTGCTATGATATCACTAGGAGTGAGATCAAGCCTCAGGGAATCTCAATCTAATCCCGCCTTGCTGAATCTTAATTACTGGGGATTAAGTAAGAGAAGGGAGCCCTGCTAAATAGGTCTCCAACTGGATAGATCCTCTTTTTCACTTGCAAAGTGAGCTAATGTGGTTTTTTTTTTTTTTTTTTTTTTTTTTTTTTTTTTTTATCAGTGAGGTTGAAATTCCTCCCTTGGCAGAGGGTTATTGCTTTTGTCTTTTTGCTCCTTTTCCCACTGATGAACAAACAGCGGATCTCTTCAATGCTGTCTTTGCAAGATTGCTTTTCTAGCCCTATCTGTGCTTTGCTTGAGTCTCTAAAATGAAAAAACTCAAGGTCATTGGGGTGGCGGGGGGGGGTGCAAACAAGCAGATAGAACTTAATAAAGCCTGTCTTGGAACTTGTTCCCAGCCCGTTTCTTCTCTAGTGATGTCACTTTGCTCCATCCGAATGTGCTGCTCTCGGCCAGTTTGTTCTAGAACGCCAATATTTTAGTTTGTCTTAAATCCCTTGCTATTGGTTTGATTGGAACAGGGGTTTGCGTTTTAACCAAATATTTATTTTGTTGGTAAACCAGGTTCAATTTATGCAGTGTCTATGGATTTCCTGACTATTTGTAGTTAAAAGAGAAAATGTGAATTGCTAATATTCGATATGGAATCAGTGACCGAGTTCTTTCTCTTGTCTGCAAAAGAATGATCGTTGTACCATAAGAAACATTTCAGAGGCTGATTTTATACCGTGGTGCTGCAGTCTTCAAATGGGCCCCTTGAACGGTTTGGGTGCAAGACGGGCTGATGCTCAGGGGTGCTGCAGCTCCTCAGCCCCTCTAGCTGGGTGCACACAATTAGTAGCCACTTTTGAACATTGTGGCCTTTGCATTTGAATGTATGTAGCTGTGTGTCTGCAAAGGTATACTCCATTTCTGCTCACAGGAATGCATTCCCCCGACTCACGATTGAACCACCACTAGGACATTTCCGTGTACAGAAGGTGCATCTCATAAAACCAGCAAGATGTCTCACATGGTTAACTTTTCAAAGACAGGCCTGCAGAATAGCCATTGTGGAAATTTTTGTTCTTAATGTTTTGTCTTGGAGCTGTAAACCTTCTTGTGGATCAGATAAATAAAATGAAGTAACCCTGAACCGCCGGACTGCTTTCTTTATTGCATTCCTTCCCAGCGTGTACTCTAGTCATCTTCTCTTCTTTTTTTTCCTATGCTTGGTTTCAAATGTGTAAGAGTGAAGTACCACCAGCCTGAGGGACACCTGCATTTTGCAGGTCTGTGTGGACTGAGGCTGTCATTTCCCAAGTAAAATCATTGGCTTTTATCCTAATACTCACAGGTGATGCCGGTCCTCAGAAGGGACATGCATAGAGGAGGACCAAACTGGATGCATTCAGAGCTGTTATTCTCTGATGCAGAGATGAAATCGAAGGAGAGAATTGTGTAGGAGTACATCAGATAATGAATGCAAAGGTGTGGTTGGGAAGATGCTCGTTGCTAGAGCAGGGGAAAACAAATGATCTCTCATTTTGGTGGGCACCACAACTCCCCCCACTGAAATCTGTAGGAGTGGTTTGGGAGAGAATAGCTCTACAGTGTGTGTGTGTGTGTGTGTGTGTGTGTGTGTGTGTGTACAATTAACATATATTGGTAATTAGCAGTAAGTAGTTTGGGCTTCAGCGTCTGGGAAGGTTTCACTGGTTTGCCTCCTTTCCATTGTTGCTTGGTTATAATTTGTCCCTTTGATTTCTCATTTCTAGTGGATGGCTGGTTTAGTGATGTAAAGGGTTCTGATTTCATCTTGAACTTGGCTGGCCGTGTCATGGAAACTGTAAAGGACAATTCTTTTCCTGCATTTCAAGTCTACTGGAGTCAGCATGTTGGCTGGAGTGGCTGTCTCTGGATACGTGGAAGCACAGTGAGCCAGTTTGGCACTTTTGGGGGCCGGTAACGTGTGTCCAGCTGCCTTTGAAACTGTCTGCAATAAAGAGCTTTCCTTGTTGTGCGTGCTAGAACGACTCGCAGCAGGGACTGAAGGAACCCCCCAGGGAAACTTTGCACTCTCTTTTAAAATGCTGTAAGTGTGAGTGTATGCGTGTGTGTGTTGGAGCAGGGGGGCGGAGAGCGGGGGTTGAGTGCTAGTCTATATACGTATGTTGTGATACCGCGTTCTAGTGTTTCAGAAGAGCACGCGGTCCTGAAGACTTGATCCTACTGAGTTTGCTCCAGGTTTTTCTAATCATTTCCTACATCAACCTCTGTGCATAACCAAATATGGCCAAATTCATCCCTGCCATACGAGTTTCTCAACGGGGTGGTGTTGGTTGCTGGACCTGATCCTGATGTTTTTGTTCAATTCATACCTGGCGTTCAGGTCGTAGATACCATTGACTTTGAGCGTGGGCTTCGGAGTTTGGCTCTGTTGTTGTTATTTCATATATCTAAGGCTCTCAAGGTATGGCATTAGGACAAAAAACCAAGGAACTGTGCAAAGGATGGATCTTCTTGTATGACTTCATCTGTTAAATAGAAGAGATGGGGGTTTTTTTGCAGTTCAGTTCCCACTGACACAGCCTGAATCATGAATTCAAGGCCATTTTACATTTCCGCTTGGAG